TTTGTCGTTTAATTCGATCCAATTTGAATCTTGCTTGGGGGGTTTTCAAAATTAATCAGATTAAATATAAATGGATGATGGAGAATTCTTAAAAAGTTTTCCTCCCGTCCTTTTGGAAGCCCAAAGCCCCTAAGTCCAAGCCTTAGAACGTCTTTTTCTTCGTGGTTGATTCTCAGTGTTTTGACTCCAACGAAGGCTCTATCGGTGCCAGACGTGCCTAATGGAGGCTCCCTCCATGGCAGGCATGTCTCTCAGAGCATCCTCTTCATGTCTAAGTGTGCCTAACAGAGCCTTTTCCGGAGCAACTTTCATGTTAGAGCTAACTTGGCGGTTGCTTAGCCAATGTCGTATAAACCATTTCTAACAAGGTCTAACATGCGATTATACCTCTGAAAGAGGAAGTCAATGGAGCACAAAGTTGAGTCAAACACTCTTGAGAATTTCAGACCTTGGAACTCTTCACGTCATGTTCAAATCCAGAACTTTGACTCTAAGTCTTTCCATTTTTGGATATTTTCTTTGTCAATCCGGAAAGTCACTTGGTAACTTTGCTCCAAAGAGAATTGCGTGTGCAGGTCTCCGTCAGAGCGTTGCCGATTAGGCTTTGAAGTAGCCACCGTGAACCTTTCTTTCCATTTCCAGACCAGCTCTTTTTCAACCCCGGAAAGGCTTCTGGTAACTTTGCTCCATTTGGATCGCGTATGCATGCTTCCTTCAGAGCGCCGATTATTCACCCCAAGAGCAAGTTCCCAGAAATCTTCATTCTATTTTGGCTAATCTCCTCTTCAACTCCAGAAAGGTGTCCAAAGGTTTTGCTCCATCAAGATTGCTTCTGTAGGCATCCGTCAGAGCACACCGTACGAACCTTCAGAGTTGCCACCAAAATCCTACTAACTTCACCTATAAACACTCTTCATCTCCTTCAGTTCAAGGGGGTGGATCCACCATCAGAATCAGCCATTACTTTCATTCTCATTAGATTACCTTTTCTTACTTCCATCAGACTTCTCTAGTCTCTTGCTACAGTGACTTGGAGTTCTTCAAGCTCTTAAAAGCCCTTCAAAACGTCCAAGTGTTGATAGCCTTGGAAGCTTTTCCAAAACACTTTTCGATCCGTTTCCACCACCATTTTGAAACTCTTCGAAGTTTTTTCATACATTTTACGGCAATGTTCAAGTATTCATTTTCAGGTTCACTTCCGCTCATCATCGGAGCAAGTGCTCCGAGCACCGTTCTCACTCCTAGAGCAACACGCGCTGCTTTTAGAGTTCTTTTCACCAAAGCCTTATCCACCTCACCAACTTCACTTTCACTCTCCTCCAAGCCTTATCCACCACTTAAGTCACCATCTTCACTCCTAAAGCAGCATGTGCTTGTCTCTGGAGCACTGCTCTATCAAGGCGCCTTCGACCTCCTCTTCTCTATCTCCATCAACTGCTTGGTCGCACCTCCCACCATTCTTCATCTCCGGAGTTCTTTTATTTATGTTTATGAATTCTATAACATATTTTATAGGGTATTTTTACCATTTCAGCGATAGGGAGGGTCCTAGGACATACGTCCTTCGGCCTAATTTGAGCCTTACCGACCCCACTTCTTCGTTGGAAGTCCCACCATCATCATCTATTTCGAAGCTTAGTCACGTTGGATCCACTTCTCACAAACTGCGTGCTTACGCGAGTCAACCCCCGACACGTCGACCCTCCAAATCTACTGGACCCCAACACCCCCGAAATTTATAAACTCCCACTTTGCCCCTTGAATTTTGAATTTGTCCCACTTTAGCCCTTTTGTTGTAATTTCTGTTAAAATCATATAGAAAAAGTGGGGGTTTCAGTGTGGTCATATGATTTTATCTGTTTATTTTTAGTATAAATTCAAACAGAAAGACCATGTGACTGCATTACTGTCTTTTTTCTTTCTGATTTCTAACGAAAATTATAACAAATGGGGTGGATTTGAGGGACAAAGTGAGAGTTTTTAAAGTTTAGGCGGTAAACTGAGAATGACCATAAAGTTCAGGAGCACTAGTGATAATAATCACATATATATATATATATATTCATATTTGGATAAATTTTCAATAGTTACGTTTCAATCGTGGTTACTCCATTGAATATGAAAAATTGATGACGTGACATGATAAGATTTAGTTTTATTAATTATCATAAATTTTTTAAATAACTATCTAATTTATTAAAACCATCAGAGTACTATTTTACAGCTAAGATAATGATATCCACTAATAAATAAATATAGAATAATCATTAAAACTACACACATTCATATTTAACAACAAAGTATCTTCATTTTTTTTTTTTCAAATTGTTCCAATCGGGAAAATATTGGTTTTAAATAATGTATGTACTTATAACAAATGGTAAATATGAAGATGACATGAAATATTTTTTAATCCAACCAACTAAGAAGGGGAGAGTTTGAAGTAAAGTTTTAAAATTTGAAGAATTCTTTTTTTTTTTTAATAATCAGAGAAACATACAAGAGAGATCATTGATAATTAGGTGACATGAACAATAAGTAGAACTTTATCTATAGAGGTATACTTCACACAAATTTATTTATATCATATCATAACAACTAGCTAGGTGCCATTGTTGTCATGTATATATTTGTTTTCCTTTGAAATCAAACTTGGCATGATTTTTATGGTCCGAAGTTTGCGTGTGCATAGGTCCGACTGAATTATGAAGAATATTGAATTCATAAGTTAGTGCGTATATTCCAACACATCCTTAATTTTTAAATTTTATCTTTAATTTTTTTTTAAAAACCTTCCATTAAAAAAAAAAACATTTTCTTCATGTGGCCCTCTCAACTATTATTTTTTATCACGTATACCTAATTAATTTGATGTTTGATATGTTGGTAAATTTATTTCTTTTTCCATACATGTTCTATACACATGTAATATTCAGTTAAAAGAGTAATATTCCGTTTCATCCCTCTTCCACCTTTTGCTCCCTTCTTTTTTTTTTTTCGTTCCTTCTCCTGATTTGTTTTTACTTTTCTTTTTTCTTTTTTTCTTTTTACATTTTCCCCTCTTTTTGCTAAAGGCTCCTATGCAGTTTAATGCTTTGATTGAAACATCTATGGCACCATTTATTTCACCGATTCGAGTTTTGTTACAGTAAAAAGCTCTCAGAAACAGTCACATCTAACTTTTTTGATACAATAAAAAATTCTCACATAAAATCACATCTCAACTCGAATCAACGAACTAAACGGACCCTATATATACATACTTATGTAAAAAGTCAAACTCCATTACGTCCCCCATCCACCTTTGGATCACACAAATACTTGCCCTAAAGTCAATGAGATAGAGAAAAAAAAAAGAACAATGTTATTAGACATCGATGATGTTAATCATCAACCACTTATAAAATGTGAATTTCACAGCGTGAGACTCAAAAATAAAATCTACATTCTATTAGTAGTGGTGTTTAATACTAGTGGTATTTCTAAACATTTTTGAAGAGAAAAAATGACTTGGAAAATATTTATGGATGCACTTTTTCTAGAAAGAATTGCCTAACTCTCCTTGAGCCTTGAGGGCTTCAATGTCCCGTCATTTATTGAATAAAAACAGAAATGCATGCGTAAAATGTTCGCGTGTAAAATATTATAACTGGAACAAAACATTCAAAACTAAAGTGAAATGAGCTGAAAAATTGAGATGAGTTTGTTTTGCGGCCTCTCACAAAAAATTAAAAGTTTTGTTCCAATTTTTTTGTTCAAATCTAGCAACCAAACTAGTTAGGTTCTAAATTTGTGAGAAAATGTAATATAAATACAAACAATATTGGGAGGAAAAAAAAAATATGTTGACGTGTCCACCGTAGACATCTAGCTGCCACATGCACTGATGATGACGTTGACTTGTTCATTATGTAAGAGAATCATTGGCCATGTTATTTCGCTGATTCGAGTTTTAAATTTAAATTAAAATATAATTTTATTTGAGAATTTTTTTAGAATAGTCAAATGAATTTTTTTTTTTTTAGAATAACAAATTACAAATGATCTAATTCGTGACATTGGTTTTGATTAAAAAAAAAAAAAGGCATATGAACTAAAAAAAAAGAATGAAATTGTAGGATATTTAGTAAGAATAACATGGAGTGTTTTTTTTTTAGTGTAAGAAAATACCTTACAAATAATATATAATCCTACTTTCCAAAAAAATATTATGTATATTATAAAATCATAAACTTTGATATTTGAATCTAATATATTCATTCTCAAATAAAGCATGTTACTACTCCACCATAAAATGGTGTAAATTTTTTTGTTAATATTTGGATTAAAAGAAAGAGCAACCGAGAATCATGGGTTTTCATCTTTTCAGGATTTTTAGCAACTTATATTTTTTGAATTTCTTCTAGTTTGACATTTTCTTTTTCAAGCTTTTTTCTTGACAATTTAGTCTTAGAATTTACAAAATCTTAGCAATTAACTTCCGTCGGTAATATACTCAAAGAAAAAAAAATCCGTGAGTAAATTCTTTCCAAAAAGAAAAATGAAAAACGCCAATTGGTAAAAATATCATTTTGAGTGAAAGAAAAAACAATTATTTAGCACTTACATATCTTTCTCGTAGTATGACATTTTGACACTTAAAAATTTATTTTTAATATTTTATCGCATGGATTAACAATAAAATTCCTAACATTTAGTTCCCGTTAATAGTTAGAGTTAATTTCTACTCTTTAAGAAATATGGAAACTAAATTACAAAAAAAAAAAAAAAGTTCAAGCGCTGAAAATGTTTTTTCTATATAAATATATATATATATATAAGGATTTTTTTAAAGGATATTTATAATGATTTGGGTGCATTTATACTTTATAGTGAGAAATACTATTTTACTCTAATAATGGAAACTGTACTTTAAATCTTGGATTAGTCATATTCTAGAATCAAGGTATATAAATACTATATTAGTATTCATTTTATTGGCCTTTTTGCTTAGTGAAATCCCCAAATCTGTTTTGGTAACTCCCCCTCCTAAACATTCTCAAATCTCATCTGTTTTTCAGCCTCTCTACGACTCTCTCTCTCCTCTTCCTCTCTCTTTCTCTCTCTTACCCTTTATATGTCCCCCGTTTATGCATGTGACTTTCCCACTCAACACAATAACAATACAACCTTCTCTTCTCTCCATAAAAACGACAACTCTCTCTCTCTCTCTCTCTCTCTCTCTCTCTCTTACATTCTTCATTCACTGGACTACAACAATGGCTACAAGAGGGATGGTTCTCTACCTCATAACGGGTTTCTCAGCGGCAATTCTCTCGGTGTTCTTGCTCAACAGCAAGAACGGTTACGACCCTCATCGCCAAACACTCTTATCATCACAAAACTCCCTCCATCTCTCCAAGGAAAAATTAGTCTGGCCTGTAAAAATCTCTCTCAACACTCTTTATGTATATATGTTTCTCTCTCCTTGAATCTTTATGACATTTGTGCACATTTCTGGCGAAAAGATTCAATCTTGACTCTATTTTTGTGGGCAAAATCTAATCTTTTTTCATTTATTTATTTTTTAATTTTTAATTTTTTGGTTATAGGAATTGGAGTTGAGTTGGAGACTTGTGTTGGCGACAGTGATTGGTGGTTATTATAGGAATTGGAGTTGAGTTGGAGACTTGTGTTGGCGACAGTGATTGGGTTTCTGGGCTCGGCTTGTGGGACTGTTGGAGGAGTTGGAGGAGGAGGAATTTTTGTTCCTATGCTCACTCTCATAGTCGGTTTTGACACAAAATCAGCAGCTGCCATTTCTAAATGTAAAACTCTATTTGCTCTTTTTCACTTTTTTTTTCCTAGATTCATATTTAGATTCCTCCTTTTTCCTCTTATTGATCCAAAAAATAATCTTTTTTCAGTTTGGCCTTTTACATTCGGCGGTTTTTTTTTCTCTCCACCAACTTTTTGCCTCTTTTTGTTTTATAAAGTATGTGTTTCATATTATGCATTTTTCCTATATATTTATAGCAATTTTCTTTGTGGGGTGGTTTTGATTTTTTGAAATATTTTGCAGGTATGATAATGGGGGCATCAGCATCATCAGTTTGGTACAATCTGAGAGTTCCTCACCCAACAAAAGAAGTGCCAATCATAGACTATGATTTGGCCCTTCTTTTTCAGCCCATGTTAATGCTTGGCATCACTCTTGGTGTGGCTCTTAGTGTTGTTTTCCCTTATTGGCTTATCACTGTTCTCATCATCATTCTCTTCCTTGGTCAGTCCTCCAAATATTATTCTTGTAATTAGAAAAAATATTGTTCTTTTTAATTCTCTTCTCAAACAAATTTCTGTCTGTTTTTGGTGTAATTATATATCAGGGACTTCTTCAAGATCTTTCTTTAAAGGGATTGAGATGTGGAAAGTGGAGACCCTTTTGAAGGTTGGTTAGTTTTCATTGCTCAAACAGTTGATTCATTATACTAATTATTAACTCACCAATTTGTGATCTTAATTTCTTTTTTTCTTTTTTTTTTTGCTACAAATTTTGCAGAAAGAAATGACTGAGCAACAAGAAACTTTTGCCAACTCTCGTGGAGAACGTGAGATATATTCTTTAGATATATATATATATATAT